AATATCAGTGCAATGATATTTTTAAATTGGCAAAATGATTTGTAAAATATTGGGGCTGTGTGTCACTGGACACAGAATTAATGCTTGTGTTTTGAACATAGCTCAGAAAAAGCTGCATAATCAAACACACAGTTTGTTTTTCGTGTTGACATTATGAGGGCCGATGCTGCATGCTGCCGCACTCAGACTAAGGAGATGTTTAAGTGATTCAGGTATAAAATTAGATTGCAATTTCTAAATTTCATGCCTGCCATGCCTTTAGTGCCCCTGGACAGTCTAGTAAATAGCATTTTGATAAACCCAGCTGCATCTACTCTTAGATAGTACTTAATCCTCTTTGGCCAATCTAATCAGGGGAGACATATGCTGAGCTGGCACTGGACAGTGATAAGTGGTTTAGTAGATTTAGGAATGCGATCCTACATAGGAGTGGACAAGATTATGCTTCATTCATCACCAGAAGTAAAGTAGTAATCACTGTCCGTTGTTTAATGTCTTGCCCAAATCTGCACCTGTGACCCAAACCTGACCCACGTGCCATTAAAATGGCTAATTTTACAAAGAATGCCCTCTAATGCTTTAGTTTGTATTCTGTGATGCTTATGAGCAGAAAAAAGGCATATACAAATTTGAGTGAAACTGCAACAAGAAAGACAACAACAAACAACTCTCCTATTACCCCCTTCTATGCACTTAAACAGAGCTACCACCTCCTCCTATTTCCTCTTATTCCTCTTTTTATTTTTTGCCCCCTCAGGGACATTTCACTGGAATATATGAAAGACAGAGTAAAGCATAGCTGCATAACAATGAAAGAGATGAAGAAGAAAGGAGGGGAGGAAGAGGGGTGAATTTAGGAATGGGTGAATGATTACTCACTCAAGATCCTTCTTGACCTGTGGGGTGATTCCCAACCAAGGAAGTCCAATTAAGTCATTCATGTGTGCAGCCTCTTTATGTGGGACAACATGAGCGCACAGGAATGAAGTAACAAAGACATCTATCTGTCAAATTAATAATCCATGAAGAAGCACACTGTAACATTCCAGGATATAAGCAAGCATTTTGAGTTTAAGATAAATATTAATTTTAGTACGCTAATGGTCCATCGCCTTTATGTGCATGCCATGCTGTATCTAGGCAACCATCACCTGCAGCAAAGCATTGTGGGATACTCCTGGGAAGTGTGCTGAGAATGTCAACACTGGGGGCTTTTGGCAAGGGAGTGTCAATAAATACCTTTACACAAGGATGCACAATACTGAGACCCTCTCTCTTCTCATTCTTTAAGGTTCACAGAAAGGCAGCTGAGATTTCCTCCACTCTCAGCTGCTACGTGATTCACAATAAGTGTGGGACATATCTGGGTCTCCTGAATAGGGTGCTGGTATGACTGATGCAGGCGCGCTGTTGTCATCAATAGCTGAGTAACTGAAACGCTTGAGCCAGTGACTCATGTTGTGCATCATCAGCATCCCGTAAAACGACTAAAGAGGGGCCTCTGTGGCAAAAACTTCCTCTGCATTCAGACATTCAATCTGAACTCGAAGCTCGAGGCCACGTAATGCATGGATAAAGGAGATTAACATCTCTGGATTTATGTGTCCAAAAAAACAACATTAATCATTGAGTCACTGGGTCCATGCAATTGTGTACGAGTAAACATTCCTTTGCGTATGTGTGTGTCATAGTTTGGCATTCTTCATTGTGTCCTGTAAACTCCACACATTAGCATATTAGTGGACATAAGAAAACATAGCAGGAGTGGTGAGGCAGGATATCCCCCCTCTGTCTTACAGGCTTCCTTTGCTCCTCTGGCACACACACTGAGATCCTTCCTCACCCGTCCTGTTCCTCCTCCTCACACTTTCCCCAATGCTTTTATTTGTGAAATAGGTTTTGATATCCTTTCAGCTTCCCCGCTTTGTCTCAGTAATTAAATTTAGTTTGTTTATTCCATGGTGTTGACTCTTATTCTGCTTTTCCCTGTTTTGTCACCCTCTTCATCTTTTTTTTTCATTCTTCACCCCATTCAACCACGTCTCATCTCTACATTTACTTTTTTCCCCTTCTACTTACACACAAAAAGGAAAAACAAAAGAAACCAAGAGGGGGTAGGCGACAAGAGGGAGTGGGTGAAAGTGAGAACACATGCCATCTGCTGAGCCCGATGGAACCATTCTTCTTAGAGTTTAAAGCGTCTAGATGCAGTTGGTTACATCCAAATCTGAACCGCTTGCCTCTTCTTTCGCAGTACTTTTCCTTTCAAGGCCAGAGCCCTCATTTAACTTTGTAAACAGGTATATAATGAGCTACACAGTGTTTATGAGGTGTACTACTTCACATGAGTGCTCTCTTGAAATATAGAGGCGAATCTGTTCCATACTCTTTAGAGATGCTAAGGCAAATATACTCAAGCAAAGCAGTGAGACAGTCTCCACTTTCTCCCTGTCTTGTCTGCCTCTGTCACTCCATTTCACACTGCCTTCAATTTGCTCATTCATCCTGATATCTCGTCCTTACAAGTTTGCCTTTACTCTGCCCAAAAGTAGCTTAATGGGTTTATGGAACTGCTTGTCTGTCATTAAATAAAATGTCCCAAGGTCTCAGCCACTACTGGTAGCCCTCACACACACATGCACACACTCCTCTGGACCGTGCCAAATGTACACGACTTTAACTTGCTAAATGTGAGGGCTAATACTGGCATACATTGCACCCTAAAATCGCCAGCTTGTTTGAGGTGGGGCCAGCTTGCTCAGGTCATTTATGGAGCCTGCACAGACAGCAGGCTGCATGTTTGTGAGAGCAGGGTTAGAGCCTGAGTACAAAAAGAAAGAGCGAGTATGTAGTATGTCCACATCAGCCGTATATTAAAGTGATTACACCGTGGAGCCAGAGAGACGAGTGCAGAGACAAACAAGTCGCTGTGTGCTGCTTACACACACTTAACCTGTTTGTATGCGGGCTTTCAAGAGCATTGACGCGTCTCTTTGCCCCATTGCATTTGTGCACCACACAGTCTTACCCTTTATGTGGTAACTCACTTTTGACTAGGCATAATCCCACATCAGGGAGGTATAAGAGCTGACATACAGCACCTATTAGCTTTAAATTACACCCCTCATCCCCCCTGCTGGCCTGCTGTACCAGCTCCCAGTGCCCCCATAACTGTCAACACTGGGTTCAGACGTCAGTGTGGCATACCTGACTTGACATTGGCCTTTTATTCAAGCCAGCTGACTCTAATTAATTACTTTGGCCTTTAGAGAGTAAAACAGCCAGGTATGTTTGCGTCTTTGTCTGTACTTAGCTCCTGTATTACAAAAATTTATTCCTGGCTAAATAGATGTTTGGTAGGGAGCAAACAAGCTGTGCATGCAGCCTAATGCGTTTCATGGTCATTTTTAGGTTCAGCTGGAGCTACTTTAATTTTTAAATCATAAATTCCCTAATAGTGAAGCGGAATGTGAGCAAACAGGACATGGCTTGTTTTCACTTTGGTTGGGCATTAACCACTTTATGCAAATTATAACAGAAAGCAGCACTCCAACCCTTGGAGACCTGCCGAAGTCTGAGCCAATTCACTGTACCTACCTAGGACAGAAAGTAAAAGTACACAAATTGATAATAAACCCAGGCTGATAACAGCAGATGGAAGGATGCACGAGTTTCTGAAAATTGTATTGAATTAGTCAAACTGTATACTGATTGTGAATCCAGTAAAATTAATATAAACTACACTTATATCACATCAAGTGGTTAAAAGACACCCAAGTACAGTAAAAAAATTAACATGTATTTTTCCAAATCCCCAAAAAGATTCAGTTTGTGTCAATGAAATTGTTAGACTGATGCGACGATGACTCCTAACAAAAAATGAAAAGGGGTTTGAGGAAGAAGGAAACCCCGTGTTTTATTTGATTTGGGATGCCCAGAGTGTTAAAATGATGATGCTTCGGAATAAGCAAGTCCCTTGACGAGAGCTTTTGCTTCTCTGGGCCTGTCTCATCAATGTGGCACACTCACAGAGAAGGGCCCATGCACACACTCACACATGCAGGGGAAGATCGACAAAAATGCAGATACTTTGATTCAGTCGCACCCCTCACATGTGCACAAGTGCGCTTGGTCTACATCACTGAGGTACTCTAATTGGTGTGCTAAGGGATGTGCAGAATGAATAAGGCTAATGGCCTATGCATCTGTATTAAGTAGATGGGTGGGGCATACGGGAAGGAAATGAAGGGAGGAAATCTGAAAAGATGGATGAATGGCGGGGTAATGTGAGGCAGGTGGGGGGTCATGTGATGCTGATGATCAATGGACGTCTGTTAGCTGCTAATTGCCGCATTTTTAGCGACCGGCTTGCCTTGTGTTTTTGGGTGGTTGGAATGAGCTTATTCATGGTGGGTTTTATGGTGATTAGGACACACAAGAAAATCTGAATGTGAATGGATGATTGGACCAGTTAACGTGATTATCAAGGTCTTTAAATTGCATGATTTATTCAGTAATCCATGCTAATTTAAGTAATACTCGACTGTCGCAAAGGCACTTTTTCAGCTATTATTCTCCCATATAGTTCTCACTTCCATTTAGTTTATTTTCAGAAAAAGGGAAACAAAGGAAATGTATTGACAAAAGTGAATGATTTAGTTCCTCCCTGACCAGAAAGGGATTGACTTGAAAAGAAAGCTGTTACTGTAAAACAGGAACAGAGAAGAGCTGAGTTTACACAAGACGCTGGTAATTTATTGTCTAGCCCTTATGTCCGTACTCGCTGGTGAACAGCAAAACACGGCATCTGTGGTGCGTGTTCGAGACAGAGGATGGCTAGTGAATCAGCCAGTGGGAGGAGAAATGAAGTGAGGCACAAGAAGAACGAAGGAGGGAAGGAAGGAAGGAGGAGGAGAGGGAGGGTGAATGAGCTGGCCGGGGTAGAGCGGGCAAAGCATTGAGTGTGAGAGAGGAAGAGGGAGGAGAGAGGGAGGAGGGGGATGTTGCTGTTGCTGCTGCTGCGACTGTTTCTCCTGTCAGTTGGCTGCTGCTTGCCTGGAGAACAGGAGGGAGCACAGAACAAGAGAGAGGCAGAGGGGGACAGTGAGAAAGAGGCTGGTCAGTTGTTGTTCTGTGGGACGCGGGGAGCTGCGGATACGCTGTGGACGAGTGGATTTAGAAATTGGACAAATATCTGCAGATCCATGGATTATCAGCAGTGAGGAAGGCTGTCACTCCACTAAGCCACTCGTCATTTTCAGCAGAGGTGTGAGCCCACAGTCTCAGACTGCAGGGAGCGTGGCTCAGTCATGACCCAAGGGTAAGGAGTGGGTGCAAGCCAGGCAGTCTTTGTGTCTTTGGATTTTTTCTTTGTCCCCTTGCCTTCTCCTTCTTTTATTCTGCCTTTGTGTGTATTTATGAGTGTGTCACTGATGCTGTTGCTTTGCTCTCTGCAGGAGGGATGCTGGAGGCTCATGTGGCTAACATTAGCATGACTGCTAAGCCCAGAGAGCTGGACCTAAGGTCTGCAGCTGTCTCCTGCCAGGATACGTCAGCTCAGGCCATGGCCTCAAGAAAACCACAGACCAAGCCTTCCGGTCTTCCGCAGGGTCCTCCGCGTTCCTCAGGGTCTGAGCTCAAGGTGTACCGGCCAAGCGCTGGATCTATCCCCATTCCGGTTCCTAATCCGTCCAGGCTCCGTAAACAGCGCTCACTTAGCAACCTGTGTGTGCTCACAGATTCTGAGAAGAAGCTGCACCTGTACCAGTCTCCCAAATGGAATGATGACACGAGTCGGCCCGGCTCAGGGTCCAACAGAGCGGGCCAGACCAAAATAAGTCAAGCAGGTGGTGGGAAACTCCCACTCTCCCGGACACTTTCAAAGTCAGAACAGTCACTTTTCCAAGGGAAGCCCAAATCGTTTTGTTCTCCGGCTGTGACACCAAACGCGGGCAAGCCAAGTCGAATCCCCGGGCCTGGTAAACCAAGAGGACCTTACGCTGAGGTTAAACCTATCAGCAAGACCTCTGAGGCCGGCCAAAGTGCAGATACAGACCCCACAGAGCAGCCTTCTAAAGCCAACTCCAATGGAACCGGGAGTACTGGAACCACCGGCAAGAAATCAGGAGAGAAGGTGAAACTTGGAGCTCAGTCAACCGATGAAAAGAAGGACAGGAAAGGGACAGAAGGAGAAGAAGATAAGGGCTTTCTAAAGGTGGACCCGGAGTTAGTTGTGACGGTTCTGGGAGATCTGGAGCAGCTTCTCTTCAGTCAAATGCTTGGTGAGTCCTTTTCAGCGATTTTACTCTGTTCACCTCTCCCCACCCAGGCGTCTCTGTTCAGCTCTTGACTGAGGGGCAGCATCATTGAATTTTAGATGAATTCAGCTTCTGTTGCAGCAGACCATGACGGCAGTGTTTTATTCAAGTGTTTTTCACATGGTGTGCAGGCAGTTTGAAGCTCTGTTAACAGCGCATGCCTCTTGAGATGTGTTAGCTTTTTCTTGAAAGGATTTGCTCTGGGGTAGACGTGTGTGCACCTATGTGCAGTGGTGGTGTGTCATGAAGCTGCTGAAGTAGGCATTTTCTCAGATCTGACATGGTTTTGTTGTTGCTTCAGTAGCTAGCAAGGGAGTGTTTTGTCCTAGTATCATCTGACCCACTGCCACAGTGAGCTAGATTTGTATTCACCTATCGAGTAAGACCTTACTTCCTTTTCTCCTTTTTACTGCAGCACCCATGTTGGTATGGGAATGAAAAGTGTATCAGTCCATGTGTGGATGCATCTGCTGAAGTAAGAAGTCAGATCCGCATGTTCCTTCATGCCCACTGGCTCATGCCAAATTCAGCCATTCGTTAATAAAGGCTGTGTGAGCTAGGCTGGTGGGGAGTGTGTTTTCATTCGGTAAATAAATGGGCTGCACATTGAGCCAGGCTATGGTCACAGTCGGCCACATATTTAGCCTCACGCCACCCCTCCTTCGTACCCCCTCACCCCTTCCCTCCCTCTTCCTTTCCACCTCCATTGATCTCTGGGCCACTGACAGATGGTCACTGTCCACCCCACCCCGCCTCCTCCCCCTGTTACCGAGGGCAATGTGTGGGAGGAGAGAGAATCTGAGCACTTGGTGGCTTGGACAGGTAGTGTTCCCCCATCCTCAAAAAACATAACTTGGTTGCTGGGTGTGGAAACAATGGGACACTTAATGCATTCAGTGTTTAGCTACTGGGGATTTATTGTGAGAGTGATGAGTAAGTGTATGACTACTAGGTCAAACTTTGGTTGAAATCACAACTTATAACCCATTACTCATTCAGTCAAATGCACACAATGAGATTCCAAGTCGTACCACTGCTCATTTTCTTCCCATCTCTCCCTCTCAATGGGAGAAGATACCATCAGAGAGTATCTGAGAATGGTCCAGCAGGCACTATATCAGAAGTGATGGGAGGAAGTAATATTCTGCCCATCATTAAACCTCTCTCCTTCTCCCCTCTCTGCATTTCTCTTTTCTCTCCTCACCAGCCTGCATCATGCAGCACAGCCCCAAATCACTGCAGGGACGACCTTGCCTTGCAGTCCTGCGTTTGGACTATACTGTACATGCTGTTTTGTGTGCGAGGGGTGTGTATGCGTTTGTGACCTTGTTCCTTGTTGTGATGTTGTTGGCAAACAGCTTCACTGCGTAGCCAGGTACAGTGGGGAAAAAAAGGGAGGAACATGGTAAGAGGGAAGATTTTTAAAGGAAAAGAGGAAATATGTTGGGATCAAATCAGCGGATGAAGATGGTAAAAACAAATCCACAAATGGTAGTAAGTGCCTAACAGGCTGTGAGAACTTGAACTTTAAGCATTTGTTGGCATCAGTGATCTTTAATAAGTTCTTAAAATGCTTGATAGATGACACTGTATAATTTGATGCAAGATTAATAAAACCATGGTCCAGTTAGATTAATATAAACAAGATACCATATAACCTCACACAAGTACACCCCACACCCCAAACTATTGTGTTTAAGCAGGTTTATTAAATGCTTATATGTCTGTTAAATCAAGCTGATTAAAGCCCCTCTCATTCATAGCAGTACAGGGTTTATTGTCTGTGCTGTAATGGCTAACTGCCACCCTTCCTGCATAAGTAACAAGCGTGTCACCAGAAAAACATAAAAGAGTGGAATAACACTGTACCCTACATGTTGCTGATAAAAATAAAAAAATGGACATTTTAAGCACCACTGATTATTGAGTAGATATTTTCACACTGACATCATAACCCCAATAGAAGGAGCTTAAATGAGGTAATGACATCACATATTACAAAACATGGGAATTGATTTTACTTTAGTGTACTTAAAACAGACTGGTTTATTACAGCAAGAAAATGTTTTAAAAAATGACTAGAGCCCTTCTATGTTGTCAGATAGTTCCTTAAAGTTTGGTCAAATATTTGGCAAAACAGACCAGACTAATTGCTTGGCGCACGTGAATACCATTGGAAAAACTTCCTATCTAGTTTCCAATAATATCCCCATCAATTTGGTTGCATTTAAAAGAAGTGTTGAGTAGAGATAGATGCTCACACATTTTAGTTAAAAAATTGACTGCTAGTTTTCTCACCTCTGAACTGACTGGAGCTTAAACTGAGACAGAAAAACAAAATCCTGTTTTCTTGCTTTTTTCAGTCTTAATAGTCATATCATTTTAAGTACAAATTTTATGAAATGTAATTTTTTATGGTCGGATTGTTGTAATTACAGGGCATACATTTAATGTTTACCCTGTACTTGGACCTAAGACAGACTTCAGTGTAGATGCTGAGTGAAAACCTTAGAACATTCAGTTGATTTTACATATTTTGAAAATGTCCTGTTAAGAAGCAGGGCATTTTTGTGGAACTCCTGCTTCTGTGTAGCTTGGGCCCACAGTAACAGAAAGGGCTGGTGTCTTAACTGTCTACCTGATATCCCAAGTGACCCAAAATAGCTGTGGGGCCTGGCAACGACCCTTAAATTGCCAGAGGTGTATCACAGAAACCACAGTTGGCATGGGGGATAGTTGTGCCCATTTTTTCCCTTTTGAATTTGCATGTGACTGCTACGGAGAGGTTAATAGTAAGTTGCCCTGTAGCTCGCAGCTGTGGGCTCATCCTTTATCATATCTGCCTCTCTATTTCCGATGGGACACTCAGCTAATTGGTTTCTGCTCCATGCGCTCTGTCATAGGAAGATAGATGATGGATGTTCATTTCCAGAGATACACACCTTCCCCTTCTCTCCAATGCTTTTCCAACAATCTCCTGGTCTCTTTATTACATATATGATTGTTCATACGCAGATCATATTGACGATTTTATAGAATTTTTATGTCTAGGATGCAAGGAATAAATGGGTGGGTGTTATGTACATGTTCTCTTGAGTGACATCTGGCAACATGCACTGTGACACTGTCCTTCTGAGATTTCCCTGCAGTTAAAGACAAAGATAACGAAAATGCCACAGAAGCTGTATAACCCGTGCTCTGAAGAGATATGCCTTCTCCCACACACTGTTTCTAGGAAAATAGAAAAAGAAAAATAGTCTTTGACATTTCAAGGTTAGGATAAGTGTCTGTATTATCTTCTTAACTGTAATCTGACGTACACGTTTAACCGATGGGTGATGAGAAGTTTTTGTTTATTGGATTTAGAGCTTTACTTACCATGTGCATCCTTTGGGAACAGCTCTGTATATGATAATTCTCTTTAATACAGGGTGAATTTTTACAATATCTTGTCAGCATCAGAAAAGTTAAGTGCAGCCACAGAACAAAACTGATGAACTCTGGTATTGAAATTATTTAATTTGAATGGTACGCTGTAAATCACCTACAGCACAGGCTGCCATAGTAATCTAAAGCCGAAAACCTCAGATGTGTGCCACTAATGACCCATCCTGGTCCCCCTCCACCCCATAATGAGGTGTGTTTGAGAGGGTAAGCTCCCTGAAGCAGTGGTCCTTCTCAGCATGGGGCAGGCACAGTTTAGGGTGAATCCCAGCTAAGACACCAACCAAGCATCCGGATTAAGCATTGCATTAAGATAATGAGAAGATTCAACCCCCATTCCACTAATCACAGATCTATCACTCTAAAAAAGAGCAGCCGTTAAGACTAAAATGAATGAAAGATTACAGCCATCAGGACATCTACCAAGGTCAGACATTTGGGTGTGTAGTTTTGAAGATCGGAGATGCTGTGAGGTCTTAGTTTTGGCCAAGCTGATTGTTGCATGTACAGTAATTCACTGTCAGAATAAACTGCGACTGAGTGACACATGGAGGCTCATTGGAGGCGGCCTAACTACCAGTGTGCTTGTTCTCTTACTCTGACATTAAATTGTATGTGTGGGCATGGGTATGTTGTTGATGGTTTCTTTTGTATCTGCATCAGCTGTCTGTGGAACAATAAACCCCACAGAGAAATCGACAAAGACTGAGACAGGGCAACACACATAAACACACACACACACATGCACAATGCCTGTTTAAGGGAATTGAACCATACTGCAGAAAATAATCTCAAAGCACTCCTTCTGCTGTTCAAAGCAGGCTTACACGGGAGCATAAAATGTGCACCACACTCAGTCTCTGAAACCCTCCTTTTTTACCCTCCAGTATGGCCATTCTTTTAACTAAGTATCTCAGGCCTGGTCTTCCATTGTGAGCATAGTGCTGAGTCTCTAATGTGACGCGGGTGCGGTCAGAGCGGCTGTTTCCGCCCCGGGCTTTGATGAGTGAAGGATTCAGGGCAGTCCTCCTCCAGAAGAGGAGTTAGTGACAACCCAAATAAACACAAACGACAAAAGCAAAGTGAGGAATAAAGCATCCCTCCAGATCTTTCTCTCTCTCTCTTCCTCTTCCTCTCTTTCAACTCTGATGTGAGTTGACGGCCAGCAGTGTTCTGTCACCAGTCAGACAGCAGAGAGGATATTTCTGGTACAACTGTTTCAGCAGGAGGACAGAGGACATCTTTTGAGCCTGACAGAGATTCATATCAACAGAAATATTACCAGGTGAAAATGAATTCATACACAGGGATGCATTCAAGATTACATAGTATTTTCAATGTTGATGTCTGTGTTGACAATGCATTGTGGTCAGTCTCTAAAGACTTAATGCAGGGTCCATTGCATTAGAGCAGTCTGCTTCCTGCCATATTCCTTCTAAATCACATTAGTACTCAGTTTGTTTTTTCCCTTTGCAGCTCTCACACAAGACATACACACATACTACGTCTCACTTAAAATCCAGTTACAACGCTGTTACCAAATCATTTGTAATAAACTTGTCTGTTGAAGGCAATGCTGCATTTTGTTATGTTTTAGTTGGTGATTGGAAAGGTTAAGTGCCTATTGATGAAATGAAAAAAATGAATTATTTTCTCATGCATTTGTGGACAAGCTAAATATTCTAAGCCACTTTTCCAGCTTTACAGCTGTCAGTTGCTTTGTCAGGCCCTGCAGAGGGTCATTTTTTTCATGGCAGATGGGCAGTCTTTAAAAAAGCATAGGTTTTCTCAATGACACAATGATCTGATCAAAAACTGCTCAGTTGAAAGACTGTTTAAGCCGGCTAGAGCTGTGAGGAGCTGACGCTAACCAGAGCCTAAAGCCATGAATTGCAGCACAGCTAAAAAAATACAGCTCTACTGGGCAAACTTCGGCAAAGTTTCATTCCAATAAAAATTTGTTCTTTGGCAACTTGAAGTGCTATTCCCACAACAGAGTAGAGCTTAGGGATCAACAATAACACTAACATAACTAAGAGCAGACCGCAGCTCAGATTGTTCCACATATTGTTTTAAACTTCCCCACAGCAGCAGCAAAACGTGAATATGTAGGGTTGTGTTTGGGAAGCACCTTCGGACAGCATGCAGGGCAATTATGTTCTGGACTTCTGTTTTTCATGAATGTTGCTTTTATACTGTATTGAATTGTAATTATTATGGTGCTTATTAATGAACAAAAATGCAACAAATGGATTTTAAAAAAGTGAATGAGGGTGACCCAGGGTGATCCACACTTAGATACAATGTGTATATAATTAATATATGTATATAGTATATAGTTGATACAAAAAGAAGAATCACAAAGAGGAAATTGTCTTGTCCAATAGATATACTGTCCATGTGTTCTATTAGCTGCTCTTTTTAATATTTTAAAAAAGTCCCTGATTTGCTGTCATCAGTTTGCTTCCTCGGGTGACCTCCATAACAGTTGAGCCTCTGTGTGAGTGGAGCTGCAGCCGGGTTTTAAGCACATTGTAAAATACAGTTCCACAGGAAACAACCCTCTTGAACAAAAATACACCCAAACATTTCCATACATTATGGTCTCCCTCGGCTCGCCGCTGGTTTGTTTAATGTGAGTGAACGTGGGGTTGTGTGCTGGCGTGAATCTGTGATACAGTCCATATTTAGATTAGCTTTATTTAGATCAAAGTTTTCAACTATACGCCTTAAAAAGCAGGATATTCTTCTTTTGGTGTCAAATTGGGATATTTCCGCCGACTGCTTCACACACAAACACACACTGAGTCGTCAAAGCCGATGATAGTGCTTTTCCTCCAGGTGATGGTATTTTGACAAGCATCTGCATACCATGTGTGTTTATGCTTTGGATTTGTGTTTAACATTGTTAAAGGATCCCTTACATGTTGAATCTCACCCAGTGCAGCACAGCACAGAAGAAGACAAACATGCACATCCCTTTTTGCATAAGGAAGTTTAATCAGGAAAGTTAGAATTGACTAATTTCTTTCTGTGATACACTGATGAGGTCTCGATCTTATACTCTGAGAAAGTAAACTTATCTTAAGTAACTTGAAGCCTCCTTATCTTATCCCCCAATAAGCGGATAGAGCTGTGACTTTTAAGCAGATAGAGCTGTAGCTAAGGAGATATGCCAGTGTTTGTGTGTTTGTGTTTGTGTCAACATTTAAGTCGTCAGGTTTTGCTAGCGAGGCAATCTGAGCCGAGAGGATTGGAAGTTTGAAGGTTTTAGCTGTGTATTAGTTGCTGCATCTATAATTCTGGATCATTAGCGTTTAGAAATGTCCACCAGTCTGCAGCTGTTCAGCCTCCCGCATAAGGATTTCCAATTCTAAATTGATTTCACAGTCACTAACAGAACTCTTGCACACAGTTTCGTCTCCCTCTTACAAATATGCATTGACTTTTCAGTTGTTTTGTCATGGGAACACCACCAAATAATTTCTACCATTTAAAGCATCAACTGCTAAAATCTCATGTACACTGATACAATCATGCCCACTTACATGCTCATTAGCCATTCATTTGGCCTTTCTGATGGGATGTTCGAGTGCTTTAATATCCAGTTTTGACATCCTGGGGAGACAGACGCATTTCTGCATGTGTTTACACGTGGATACACATTTGGGTGCTCATTCATCTGTTTGTCGGCCCGGTCCAGATGTGCAGGAATGACTCTATGTTGAAATCCTTCCTGTTTTTGCAAACCGTCTTAGGTCAGCTGCGGGCTCCGATGGTGAGGTTTGTGGATTCAAAGCACACAGAACTATAGAGTGCAGGAAACATTAATATAAACTGAACCTGTTCAAATCAGAATCTAGACCAGCCACCCTTTTCTGAAACCGAGCCGATTTGCACTGTTATCAGAGCTGTCATGTCCCCGTTTCCATGTTTCCAGCATTCAGTAAACCAGCTCAATAACAAAACCTACAAATGTTTTATGAGCATCCTGTTAGTTTGGACCTTGCATGTCATTTGTCAGGAATGCTGAAATGATTGTGTTTGCAGTAAAAAAAACAGCCACTTTGCCATAAGACTACTTTTTAAGGACATGCATCAGTAGTGGTACAGGTGTTGTACCAGCCACAGCTATCTGTTAAGTAACAAAGCTACCGTTGCTGTTGTTGTTGTCTTGGAATGGTTGTGGAGACACTAACATATGTGCACACACGTGGACAGGACAAGTACAGATGAACTCCTGAGGAAAAGAACGAATAATGGAAATGGAAGTCATTTTTCAAAGCTTCATTCATTTTCCTCTTAAAAGGGTTTTTTTTTTCACTGGAGAAGACACAAATTCATGATGTGGAAGAGGGACGAGGAGTTACTTGGAAACCTATCGACAAGCACAGACACGCAAAATGGCAGACTGCTCTTGCCGTGACAGACCCATTAGTGGATCTTTGGGGAGTTTGTTTGTTTCTAATGTAGAGGAGAGTCAAGTGAGCCTGAAAGAAATCAAGTGGACAGCAGTTTCAACATTTTATATTCCCACGTATCCATTTTTTAAATGTATTATGGTCAGCACCCGCATTGCTCTTTATTCGACCCTTTTATATGCATGCTAGCTTACCACTGACAATGGAGCAAAAAAAGGCCAAACATTGGTCCCCAAAAAAACTTCCAAAGTCTATAAAGCACTGTGTAAACATCTGGATTTTCTGTCTGCAGCATTTTAAAACACGCTCCTTAACATGGCTGCCAATACAAGCACCAGCAAGGGTTTTTAATGGGCTTTGACCTCACCACACACAGCAACAGAGACAGGGAGAGCTGTTTGTACCATTTTGACATTTGTGTTGACTGGCCATCTGGATTCTCGTTGGGATGCAATAGGAGAAATATATAGTCCAAAATAGCATGCCTATTTGCTTTCCCCTATCAAAAAACTAATTTTCTTTGGCCTTGATCTGCTGCTGTGCCAGCATAGTTGGCCAGTTGTTGTCTTAGAGCAGACTACCATCAGGATGCAGAGATGGCCCTTTAGAAGCCATGTCTGCATGCACTTACAAGAACACTCTCACCCCAATATGCTGACTCTCATTTCAAGAGTCTGAGTGGACCATTATGAGAGGCGCCTCAGATGGTTTCATAGGCTCTTCAGGGCTGGAGTGTGATCATGTGTGAGTCTAGAAGGGGCAGGTGGAGGTGCTGTCCCAGCATAGCCGAACAAATACTCATACACACACAGACACACTTAGTTTCGACCAGATCAGTGTAATTCATTTGTATCTCAGGGGACCTGCCAGACCTGACAGGGATATTTGCATCCCTAACATCCTCCCCTCCTCGCACACACACGCCAGCTGGGTCCACCAGAGCCAGGGCAGAGGCGGGACAGGAAGTCTTTCACAGACGTGCTATTCACTCACACACACACACACACACACACACACACACACACATGTACACGCACAAAAACACAGAGCGTATCAAATCAATTTGACGCCATTGTTAAACAAAGTTCTCATTTCGGGTAATTAAAACCACCCAATTAAAGCCCGTATGTGTGTGTTAGACATTGCACGTGTTTGTGCGTATTAGAGGTTCTTTGTTCCTGCTAAACCTTTGTATAACCAGAATACCAAAAATGACCGTTTTAAAGCTTTCTCACGGTATGCACCAGCATCTCTTACATGAACAGCTCCCACTGAACAAAAATGTTCAGATTTTATCCTTTTTTTAATTATTATTGTCTTCAATCATTTGCAATGTGTGTGTATGCGAGCTGCAAGTTTGCATCACAATTCTTTCATCTTTTCCTTTGTGGCAACCGTCCCTCAGGCTCCATAATCAATTGTATTCGTGGCCTTTATTTTTTTGGAAGACATCAATCCAGTTTTATGGACATGGCTGAATGGAAGTGTCTGTCACTGTGTCTATATGTGAATGTGAGTAGATGAACCATTCAAATACAAATGAGTAAATGTGATTAGTCTGCAGCTGTTGTTGAGATTGACACTTCAGCAGTTCATGATTTGCCCTCTTTCCTTGTTTGGATGAACTCTTCCTCTACTTTCTCCCACTGGCCATCTGGGCTCCTTCATGGGAGTGTTGGATGAGTAAAGTATCTTTTCTGGAGTGGAACCGGTTTCAACAGCCTAATTCTGTTTACTGTAAATAAGTTACGACACATTTCAAAATTTTCAGATTCCAAGCAGCAACTTAGTTATGCATTCACAAAGATTGATCAAACTAAGCTGGTTTGGTAAGAGAAACTTTGGGTTCTTGTTTTCATCAGAATGCATCCCTTGATTAAGTTAATCTCTTACAGACCTTATTTGGGAGTCAGCTGTTTTGTTCTGAGGGTCAATCGAACTCACCCTCAGTGTCTACGCGTTATTATATGTGTATTTTTCTTGGTTCGTGTTGTGGGTTTCGCCATAAGGAACATATGTAAGAGGAACTGGAAGCTGTTAAATGTTTTTTTTATTTTTTATTTTTAGAAAACTGTAAAACCGATTAGATTTTAGGAAATGCATCAGTGTTGCCTCAGCTCATGGATATGAAAATGAAACAGCAACAGCAGTGTGGCTGCTTGGCTCAGCATGAATCTCCATGGCTCTATCTCAGCAGATTGCAGCTTATTTTGTAGGGGGGACAGCTGCCAGTGTTTCCCTTTGTGGATTTAAGTTAGAGCGACTTTTGGTTTATTCACCACCTGAGCAAGCAGGGGGTGAAGAGGCACAGTGCAGTGAGAGGGCACCATGACTTAAGGGTGGTTGGAGAGGAGAGGAAGTGGGATACATTCATCCAGAAGGATAGAAAGGTGGAGTGAGAGTTAGGCTGAAAAGGGCTTAAAGTTTTTCTCTCTGTTGTTTTCTCTGTCTGTTTCTCTGTTTCTCTGTCTGTCGATATTTAATTTATTCCTCTTTTTCTCCCCCCCGCTGTCATCATTTTGTTCCACTGCCATAGACTTATTTTTCAGGTTTTGTTTTGATGATTAATCCCAGATTTTGGCCACAGTGTGCAGGGATTGAGCATGAGGTCATCTTTTGGAATAAACAGTGGAGACAAGTTCCCTGATCATCATATAACATTTCATATGTACTCGTGTTTCCTCACACCCCTTTACCAATAACACATGCATTTAAAAAAAAGACGGATAGTAGTTTTTACTCCAATCATCTAACAGGGTCATTTGTATGTGTGTGTGTGTGTGTGCTTACTCATGCAGACCCAGAATCCCAGAGAAAAAGAACCGTGCAAAATGTTCTGGACCTTCGACAGAACCTGGAGGAAACCATGACGAGCCTGAGAGGGGTTCAACTCAGCCACAGGTCAGCCATTCACACACACAGGTCCAAGCAGAAATGAACAAACAAACAGAGCAGAAGAAATAAAAACCACATTCACTCAAGACAGAGATGAGCAGCAGTCCACATGATCGTTATTGACACAGCTAACAGAGTGTGGGGTGTGGCGGTTAACTGCCTGCGGTGGATCAGATCAATATCAGCATCCCCGTTAGACCAGTAGCTGCTATTCTGTCACCCTCCACCTGCTCCGTCTTTGTTTGCCTGGTTAATACTGAACTGAAGCGGGATTAAGTGAAAGCTGACCTCAAAGCCTGGCCTGCTGATAGCCACAACAGTCACAAACACAGCAGGAAGCAATGATGATCTTATTTGTTGCACGTTCGTGTGTCCTCGGTCTCTGCTTCCTGTTCTGGATTTGGTCATGTTCCGCATGTCTTCAGATTTTGTCCTTGAGAGCTTCCCTCCCATTGGTCTGTGTGTGTGTGTCCCCTGCTATGTATCCTACCTCTGTCCCTCAGAGGGTGATTTTCATACAAAGAGCAGTTCAGCAGATGGTTCCCTGCTGGAGTACATTTCCTTTGCCATTCAGACATTTTTGTAGTGTAATAACCTTGAGTCAGTAAGATGTAATTTGCTTTGAGGCCCGCATCCTGACTGTGGATTTTTCTATGTGCAAACAGGATGCCACACATCCTGTGATAAACAAGTGTTTGGAGTGGAATGGGGGGTCGGTACTTGAATTAAACAAATCGATCTTAAAAAAGGCTAATAATTGTGTTTACACACTTAACCTATTGTACTGTATGAATTCAAACGAATCAGAAGAAACAAAATTGGTAGAATCCTCACCTTTAACTTCTATATACCTCTTCTGTGTTTTTTATGTTACCTGTAAAGCACTTAATTCAGAAAATAATTTATTGTTAGCTTCAGCTTTGATGATTCCGTATCCTGCAGACAAGGTATATTTTAATACATCTGACAAAGGCATACGCTGTGGCAGTTTCAGAGCTAGTAACTCGCTAATTCTCATCATTGTCAGAGCAGACGTTAAGCTGTGCTGCGCTTTGCTGCTTTGGAAGAGGAAGCGTTTGTGATGTTGGCGGTGCTGATATTTGCAGACACATGCAAATTGCTGTGCAGTTTCAGGCTCACAGCGGAGCTATGGAAAGGCATGTTTGCTGACAGAAAATACATCTTCAAACATATTGCACGCATGTGTGGAAAAATCCAAAAGAAGGCCTCAAAAATATCCACACATGGACATATACAAAAATAATCCCACAGTCCTTTGATAATAAGTATAAAGCTTTTTAAAGCCAGGAGCAGCAGCTCTTTACCTTTTCTATACAAAAAAAGAAGACATGACAAACCTTCAATTTCTGTCTGTTTGAATCTTGTCCAATGTTTTTATCGATGTACTTTTGTAAGTGAATCTTTCTCATTCCGTAGCTGTGTGGAGGGTACCATGTGCTACGACAGCGACGAAGCTGCTGCCTTCTCAATCTCTACTCTCTCGAATCGCTCCTCTCCGCTGTCATGGCGTCAGGGTCAGGCCAGTCCCCGGCTGCAGGCCGGTGAGGCCCCGTCCACGGGGAACGCCCCGTCTGAAGTTCCCCGCCGGCTCAGCCACACGTCACGTATTCATCTCATCGAAGACCTGGTTGACTCCGATCCATCCCTCCTAAAAGCAGATTACCTCAGCGACAGTGACCTCGGTGGCAAAAGCCCAAATGTTGACGATGAAGACGATGATGATATTGATGATTTGGGAAATGGGTGAGTTGCTTTTTCTTTTATTTGAACAGCACCTTTACGATTCCTTCTTCAATAGCTTGGCTAAATATATTACACCTTTAAAAAATGGTATATGTTTCAAGTGGCTTGGCATTTCTTATGAGGTGAATCCTACCACTGAACCCCCAGCTTCAGTCTGGCCTGTAGTCAATGTTTAGATCAGCCAGTCTACAACTGATCACAACCCTCGTGGTGTCTGACTGTTTGCTCGCTGCTGTTTTGCTGTAGTCACAGAGCTGCCCTCTGGTAGAGTAGGGAAGTCATGTCACCATTATTTAGCCCCCTTGCAGAGATCATCCCAATCATTCAGCTGCATGCTTATTGGCTGTCCCAGCAGGTTTCCATGTTGGAGACCCCTCACAATGTTGGCTCATGAGAAGTCGCTGGCAGAACTACTAGTGCAGATGTCTGGTCAATTAATCTCTAATGCCTTGAAGGATAGGACTTATTTTTGGTAGAAATTAATTATCCATTGAATCAAAGGAGTTAAAGTTGAGTTAACTTGAACATGCTGTTATTTCTTCAGAGTTGTGCCTCAGCATCTTGGCTGTGTTTTGTCGTGGTCGTTGCCTAGAAAGTCTGTGTTTGTGCACCCTCTGTTCCCATGTTTCTATGGCAGCAAAAACATTTTTACAAAAGGAGGCTTATTCTCCACTTGTTTGCTGCTAAATTATAGTTAAAATTATTTGTTTGTGAATATTTCTGGCTGCAATTGAGGGTGAAAACATGACAACCTGAGTAAACATGAAGTGGACACAAGAACAAGGAACAGCTTGACCAAATTGTTATTTATTTGTACTTTATGATGTCTTGTGACGCTTTAAGAAGAATGACTAGATTCGGTGCGCAAAAGATTAATTTAAGTTCATAATCCGCTGACGTATGACTTAAGCTGTGTTCCATAGAAACTGTTGACTGTTGTTGGGGAATTGCAGCGCTTGCACAAAAATATATGACACAAGATATGACACAATTCCAGCTCAGATTAAGGCGTACCATCATGTTTCACAGAGCAACTCTGAGCACAGTGAACAAAAACACATGATCTCACCTTAACTGGGAACTTAGATGTTTTTGGGTGGCTATTCATATGGCCAAGCTAAAAAAGTTTTGCCCTGACCACAGCTTGAGATCTCCATGGTTACCACAAAAGCGCACCCCCAGTCACCGGGACATCAATTGCAGTACACTTCACATCCCTGCAGTGTTACTGTGTTTCAGGTCACAGACACTGTTAGGGGTTAATCAGATTCATATCAACCGATGTGTGAGAAAGCGTAGCAGAAAGCAACTTTTGGTGACAGGCAAGACAAATATATTTACAAGCCAGCAGAGAAAAGCTAAGCCAATCAACTGTTGCTTTAGAAAAGTAGTGTAGTAGTCTTATTAGGATTTCGTCACAGTTTAGACAGTAGAACTGAAACTGATTATTATTTTTTTGTAAAAGTTAGATCTTATTTTACAGACATTTTTTGTGTGGACTTTGGGTGTTTATTTGCCTCTTTATTTCTTATGTATTTAATTATTGTCTTGTTTTACAAACACTATTAAACAAGACACAGAATTAAGTTTCTCCATTTACTATTTTATCAGTTTATGATTCTGGCACACAGTCTCACATTTACTACTGGCTCTTTAGATCGAACCCAACATGCATGTTTTTGGACTGTGGGATGAAACTGTTGCGGAGGAAAACCTAAAAATACAATCCACATGGAGAGGCTCTCGGTCACTGTGGAGTGGAACCTGGAACCTGGAACCAGACCATACAATTATTGTTTTGTTCCCACTAGAGGGCAGAGCAGTGCTGTTGTTCCCTCATTCTCTGCTGATCCCTCCACCCATGAACTACCCAGTCAATACCTCCACCCTGCGGAATTCCTCTCCTTCATCGCATAATTTATTTCACATTCTAATCTATTATGCATACAGGCAGTACCAGTGTCATGCACAGGTCACAGTACACAGCCATATCTCATCCCAGCCTGTAGGAAATGTATGATTCCCCCTTATGCATTATATATCACAAACATTCTTTGTTGGGGTAGACCTTATCATCTCTTTGTTCCTTTAAGGGAAATGGGATGAAGGGAAAAGTTGTGTGATTAAAGCTAATTTTTCCATGAAATATATATATATAGACTGTCGAGTCTCAGTGTGACTCATTCAGTTTAAGACATGACTCACTTACATGTAAACGTGAGCTTACTGTGACTAAACAATGACCTGGTGAAACACAGACCCTAATACTCACAAACACCCTGAGTCACAATCCCCTCTGTCAGTTATCAATTTCCTGTACTTTCCTAGCTCTAGAGTCTACTCATCTGGTGATGTATCTCCATCTGGATCCCCATCATTCTTACCAGGAAATGGCAAGAGGGGCGACCATGAGGAGTTTATTACCTTCCTTGTCTGGATGTGCATGTATTTAAACAAGGTGTGGTTCCATTTGGGTTGAGTTACTGTGCACATGAAGAAAATGTGCTCAGATCCTTCTCTTTAGTAAAACAGCATGGTGTAAAACATATATTTAGTTTATGACAAAGTGCGGTAAAATGATTCCTCTATTTTCACTGCGCCAAATGCTTCCGAGGGCTTGTGAGTAAAGAAGAGAGAACTTTTGACATTCTTGGTAGTCATTGTTTATACTATTTTTCTAATACAAGACAAGCAATCAATTTAGTGTGTAAAGATGTGTGTGGTCAAGTATCATCTACATACAAAGATTATACATGGAACCACCCAGAGTGAAGCAATAAGCCTAAATACTGTATAGGACTGAACCTTTTATGGTTTTGATCGACAGTATTGATTGAGATGTTGTTGTTGGAGTGTTGATGATGGGCTTTACATACACACATATGTGTACGGCTCGTTTTCTGGCCCGCTTGATGCAGACGCTTTAACCTATGGATGGAAGAGCACTGGTCCCCCGCAGCCTCCCATTAGCGAATGCAGAGTGGCTATAGTAACACTGCAAGACCAGCTGCTTCACTGCACTAAGTGCCTGAATTATGAAAACATTTGTTGTGGAGCAGGGCAGACACACGCTCGCACGGCTCCCTGAAGCATTTCAGAGTCTGCTGGATGAAGTGTTTTGATTTGGTGCTCTGCGCTTTCTAGAAAAACAGAACTGAGCTGTTTTCTTCTATGTGTCAGTCTCTTAACGTACGGGAAGTGAAACGGCAAAGAGCATGTTTTGATAGAGAAGTAATGTGTTTTGAGAGTAAATGATGCCTGGAATAGGTTTAGATGTCATCAGTCCTTGTTTCAGCTCATGACTTTGGTCTTACTGTAGTTTTGGAGGAGGCCATAATCTGATGGTTAGTCCCATAATCAAGAGTTTAAAAATAAGTGTAACTTGTCAGAGCTGAGGTTCAGGTGTTAATAAAGGTTCTTTATGAAGATCATATTCCATAATAGGTGATGCATTTCTTCAGTTTAAACTCAGTCCTTGTGTACTCTGACCCCCCCTACTGGTCAAAAACAAGACTATCACACAACACTTGAGATTAATAAACTCCTCTTACCAGTTATACTTGTTGGCTCACTCACTTCAGACTTCTCTCTTACTTCCTGGATACTGGTCCTGTGACTCGGTCAAGTTACAGACCTGCACCCCTGCTGCCCCTCCTTAAATGTTAATATAACAAGCACTGACATTAAAGTGTGCTCTTTTGTGCGGTGGAAAAAGTGAAGAAAAAGCTCAACAATCAGGACACACATGATGAATGTGTAATTTATGTCAGTAAAACACCTTTGAGTTTACTGTCATTACAGTCGAGGAGGTGAAAGGTGAGATGTGCCCATAAAATAATATAACATTAATTTGTCTTCAGGGTAGATTTGTGAACATAAATCATTGAAAAAAGTCTTCTATATCAATTACTAGTCTATGTTTGAGCTTGCATTGTTGACACTATTTGAACAGTTGATTTGTGAATGTAATATCCAGTTGCATTGCTTAAGATCACATATATAAAAGTTCTGACATATTTAATACAGTATGTCAAGCCTGAACTCTGAAAGCATTTCATCTGTGATTACCTTATGAGTGTTTTGGAAGATATTTGAACTGGTACCCTGGTGTGAGGGTAGCAGTTCAGATTACAGTCGTGTAGTGTCTCACAGTTTAGTTCAAGTTTGACTTAGTAAGTGGTCATGCATAGCCATGCGGTGTTTGCCCATCTGTTCATGTTCATATTCTCCTTTATGTTGTTCTTTCCCACTGAAGCGTTCAGAGATTCTCTTTAAAGAGTTTCAGAATTTGTCCCTTATCAGATTTGACATCTCAAGCACTCTCAAACATAAACGGAACAAAGCTAGAAATAAATGGAAGCGCTTTCCTTGTGACCCGAGTTGTTTACCTGGGATTAACTTTGACCACATGTGCTGAAAACATTATCTTTTATCATGAAAATGTGCACAATGCCTGTTTACTGTCTGGTCACACTCCCCCAGCAGAGTGTTGAAAAAAATTCCTCTGAAACTGACTGAAAAAATATAGATTACTGTCAATGAGCTCACATATGAGCATGTTGGACAGTGATTTTAACAAAATGTTTTTTAATTTGTCCCCTCACAAGGAAATAACAAAACGCTCTGTTCGGGTTTATCTGTATTTCTATGTTTTTCATAGCATTATGTTTGCCATAATATCTTTTATTCCCGTCCGCTTTGTGCCAGAGACGGTGTGGTTGGGTTTGCATGAAAAGTTGATGAGTGGCAGACTGGAGTGTGTGTCAGGGGAGTGATGACGGGGTGTGTGGTGTACTCCTTCTCCTCTCCGGGCCTCTGCCTCTCTGCCTCGTGCGGTGCTCCTTTGGCTCTGTCTGCTCAGTGTGGCGTGTCATCAATTACTTTTCCTGTCATTTCAGAGAGAACTTGACTGAATGGAGGGGTGCACTCTTTCTTTGTTCCAGCACGTGTGAGCCAAATACTAGAGAGAACACCCATGGAGAGACACACAAAAACACCAT